ATACTTTTGAAACAAAGAAAAATTTTTCTTCAATAAAAAATTGTGTTAGCAGCTACGATGTTTTCTCAGAGAAAGTGTTCGTAGGTTATCGCACACAAGGAATTGAATGGTGAAGGTCACAGGTTAAAGAAAGCAATGGTATTCCCAAAAAAAAACAAAGTGTTGGGTGTGCACATACTGTTGAAACACACTGTATAACAACGGATGATCAAATTATGAAGCTGAACAGACGCTAACAACCAGATCGCCTGTCGTTGCAAAGAAACCATACTAGCGTTGAGCCGCAACGCAGCCGCACGTGACCATGTCTGGAGAAGAGACAGAATCGAGCCATGAAAAGTAGCCATTGCTTTTTTATTCAGCTGCGTCGAACGATCGCCTCGCTGTCATTGGTAACGAAGGAATTTTGTTTTCAATGAGCCATTTAAACGAGGCATTCCTCGTTTCTAGTCACATTAAAGGTTTGTCTCATCAGCTTCTTACTCTTAGTAGATTCCTTCGGGGTTCCAATCAGCTAGTGTTATGTCACAGATACTTCAGGTCCATCAGCAGTGTCGCTTGAAACGCTTGACTTCTCTTCTGGACACTTGGAGAACGATTTTTCGATTCGACTTTTCTATCATGAGGCACAAACTGGCACGCAGGTAAGTAATAGGGCGGACGAGGGCCTTCCTCTACTACTACATTACCTTTCTCTACTACTTCAGTACACCATCATGTCGAAAGAGATCGTCCATGAAGCGTCATATGACCGTAAACCAGACGGCACCCTTGTGATGCATATCAACGGCACGTTGTCCATCAAATTCAAAACTGCCATTTCTTACAGGATTCCGAGAATTTCCAGGAATGGCTGTACGACAGACTCGATCTGGTGATATTGTTGTCGATGCTCGCCCACGAGTAATTCAGTGCAGTCCGTCAACAGCATCAGTTCACGTGCGTAGCTCGTATATCGACATGGGAGTACAGGTCAGTAATTGCTCACTCCATTCAGTGTATCAGAGCCGATATTCAATGATAGGTGATAGGGAAGATCTTGAAGGGATGGAAAGCTTAGTTTGCTTGGGCGAGTATCAACCCTCCGCACGTTACAATACTCGTGAAATGCATGAGTTGTTTCAGGAAAGCGAGAAGGCGTACGTGAAACGCGGTCTGAAGCGTGTACATGTGTCTCGATCGGGAATGGTGGTGTCAGATGGTAACTGTATTACATCCATGGATCATTTCGGACGTATTGTCAGCAGCACGTAACTGCATGTAACCACC